CCCCAAAACCCCAAAACCCCAAAACCCCAAAACCCCAAAACCCCTAAAATTAATAAAAATATTGAAACTAAAAATGAACAAGGTATTAATCAACCAGGATCTAAGAATTTTATGGCTTTTACAAATAATTTTGGAATTTGCTAAATTTGGTTTTGGAAATCTAAGTTTTTGAGGTAGCTATGAGGCAAGGAAATAGTTTTTATTGTAAATTATGTTTTAGTAAGATTTCGAAATTTCTACTCCAGTTGAATATTTTCTAAATCAGAATAACAATTACAGACTCCATCAAAATGCTCAACTTACAATAATCTCTCCAGTTTTACCAGAAGCTCTCTTTATGATAGTGAAAAACACATAAAAATGGAAAGTGTTTTCAAACTGGGCAATAGCCAAGACAAAAATTTCAAAACATACTCAAACGACATAGTTGATGACATCTATGACCAACTTCGTCAAACCTATTCCAACCTGCACAATTCAAGCCGCACTAATAAAACTTTCGAAATTCTTAGTAAAGGAAAGTTCATACACGACAATGACTCTGTTCCCCCTCTTAACCTCCCTGCTACTCACCCCAGTGATTTAGGTAATCTAGTTGTAACCCATAGTCTGTGACCAAGTATTTCAAACTGCACTTAAGCATTCACCTTCGCCTATCCAACCTCCTCTGGCTATTCCTCAGAATGCCAAGGGTTTCTCAGTTTCAGTGGAGAGGCCCTCCATTCTGAAACAAGTTCAAAGGGATAAGGACAGTGGGTAAAATGGGAGATGATACCCAAGAGGAAGATAAACAGATGCAGACTTGTAATACAGGGTTTGGTGAAAGGGTTAGAAAACAATTTAAAGTGCCAGAGTAAGTAATATTCGAATTTTTAAATGTTTTTTTGGGAATTTTGGTTAGTGTGTGATGCTTTGAAGTCTAGCCTTGATTTAATGAATTTGAGAAATTTTAATGAAAAATTAGTATTTTAGACTTTCCACAGAAAGAAGTAGCTTATTTTTATTAAAAATAGTCTTCTCTACTTATATTTCTATCTCTATTTTGAGACTCTTGATAAACATAAACCAATAATTTTTCATACTAGTCTTCTTCGAACACAAAGAGAAATGAATCCTTCACTGAAACAGAATGTTTCAATTGCTGACACAACGGTAAGTTAGCCTAATTAAGCTTTTAGAAGAATGAAAATCAAAAGGAGAGTTGCAGTGGTCTCAAGCTAAAGAATAACAAAAATGCAATGACCAGACTAAGAGTAAGCATACGTTTAAATAGTTGAAACTAAGAGAGACTTAGCTAGAAATAAGATGTTATATTATTCAGAATTCTTTTTCTCCTCTAATTAATTTTGGTATCCCAAAGAAGAATTAGGAAAAGAAGATCTCCAGATTAGGTTTATTCTTTCATAGAACAAAAGCATTCTCGAGAATAAGTTTCATTTAATTAATTTTGATGGTTTCTCAGGAGTGAAGTATCGAAGGTTCTTCTCGAATCCCAAAGAATTTTTGTTGAATAAAAATAATATTTGGTAGCTTAAAAACCTAAAATACAGAGTAGTAGACTTAATCTTGAGATAATATATTTCTAAGATATTTCTTTAGTTGAACCCTCTCCAATCAAGAGGAAGGAAGATAAAGTTAGAAATAAAAAAGAGAGAAGGAGGAAGTGTTGGAAAGGTCGGATTAGCTCAAAAATATTTTATGAAGACTCTCAAAAATATTTCAAATGGCAAAGGTAGAGATAAACATAGGTAAAATTTTACTGATACTTTAGAAGTGAGAACGAGAGTAATTATTTAAATATAAAGTATACCTCTTTCTTTGGAAAACAGAATAGACAAATTAGTCTTGGAAAATTAAAGAACATAAAACCAAATCGATTAAATAAGTCTGTTGATTACATGTCAAAAAGAAGGAATATTAGAGAAGAGTTCAAAATCAACACTAGCAGGTAAATCAGTTCGATATCTTTAAAATAATGCTAATTACTTGAATTATTCTGTTAAAATAAAGAAAGAAGCTTATTTTTTAAATTAATCAATGCTTTGTAGAGGCCTCAAAGATCATACATATCGCAACACAATGAGACTACAAAAGACAACAAAGAAATAAAAGAAGAGAAATTTATGATATAATCAGAAACTGCAGAGAAGTGGAAGGAGATGGTAAATAAAGTGATCAAGAAGATTGATTACGAACAAGACGTTACCAATATCTATAAGTAAGTGCACTAGATAGCAAAATTAGTTAAGTTGTTATTCTAACAGCTATCCCAAAGGTGGCATCGAATTTCTGCTCATTTTGGGCTGATTAAAAATTATATAGCCAAGGATGTAACAAAACTTGCGAGATACTTCAAGAAGTAGATTTTGCAGAAGGAAAAGTACTGGAACTACTATTTCAAAAAAGACAAGAGGATATCAATGAAGATATTGATTTAGCTGATCAAGTAGCCAAGGAATACAGAACTGGGCAATGGAAATAAGGCATCATTAATAAAATTAGTATTGTATTTATTATAGCCTACAAACTAACACATATCTTTTGATTTGTATTTTATCTTAAAAGTTACAGTTGCCAGTACTATAAATTTAGTATAGATTTAACGAATAAAAACAGCATTTTTATAATTTCTGAACACATCTTATCCAATATTTTAAGCTAAACTATCAACCTCAATAAAATACAGATCTGTAATTTTGTGAACTGCAAATCAAGAATTTAGGGAACAGTTTTAATTGAAAAGTAATAAAGATATTTATGAAGTAATTTAGTTAAAACTTTACCCGAGCAGTTTTGAAACTATCAGCACGCTTACAATTTAAAAACCATTTTTAATAATTGCTTAGTCTCTGACTTTGAATCAAATCGCTATTTTTATGATTCCTAGAAAACTTCTTTTAATAGTTAAAGACTTTTGATTTGAAGTTTTGCTAAATATTTCAGCATACTTTGGGACTATTTAAAGTAACTATTAGGGAATAATTATAATTCGTTACAACCAAAACTGTAAACTGTATATATAACTCTTCTTACTGCATGCATCAAAATGTTTATTTTAATTACCAAAAAAATAAAAAACTGGAAACATTACAGCTTTCAAATGCCATTTTTAAAAATAATAAATTATTGAAGAAATTTAATAATCCAAAGTTTCACTTGTACTCTCTAGCCTCGGGGTTTTGGGGTTTTGGGGTTTTGGGGTTTTGGGG